GAAATAAAGAAAATATAAAAACTATAAAATAAGAAAAATTATGATCATGGGTATGTATATGTGAGAAGTGAATGTGTGTGGAGGTGGTGGGTTGCTGGGCTGTAACTGCGAGGCCATGCTCCCTCCCGATGTGACATCACAGCATACACACAGCCAGTGCGATAGCCACATGTCTGAGTCAGCTAGGTGACTATCTGAACTTCAAGTTTGTGTTGTATTTTATGATATGCTATGTATCGTTTTTATTGTTTATCATAACAGTGTCAACTCATCCCTGTTGTGCACGGTTTTCAAACTTAACAATTCTAGCTGATTTTTGAGAAATTTTTATTTTATTATTATTTCATTTTGGTGCCGGTTAGTTGAATCTACCGGTTACATAGATATCAGATAACTGGGATTCTACTGTATATTCTTCAGGGAGGCATCAACTTGGTTCATAATTATACTTGCTTTTGATAATATTTTCATATGACTTTAATAATTTCACATATTTAGCTAACCATCACCTTTAAAGATGGGGATTAGAGGCAAGAGTTGCCACTGAAAGAAGAAAGTCTGTCGAATACGTCACATTTGGAAGTTGTTTGGGCTCTGCCTTACTGGATCCAGATGCAGTTCCCCATAGTCAGTCACAAGCACTCTCTGTTACCTCCAGGGAAGGTGTCCCAACCATCTGGATGTAGACACAACTTTAAATTAGGAATTTTAGGATCAATCCTCTATGGCTCCATCCCCTCCACCAGATGGTTACTAAAGACTGCTCCTCTAGTTAATGTGACAAGCACACTAATAGGGCGTTAACTGTCTACTATAAGAAGAGAAGACCTACGTGGATATTGACATCACTAATGCCTCAATGCTACACAGGACATCCTCTTAAGACTCAAAAGTATGTCAGTACAGACTCCTTTTTTGCTGCAGGTCACCCAGTTGTATTAGTTTGATTCCTCTCATAATTATAGAAGATATATATTTTTTGGTAGCTTCTCTCTTTGCCTTTTGATTAAGAATTGATATACAAACTGGCATGACTAGAAAAAGGAAAGGATTTGCATTTAGGCTGAACTAAAAGAGTCTCATTCTTAAAATCTTAAACTTCTTTGCAGACTTACCCATGCAAGATTTAGCCTAGTGGACACAAATCTCTTATTGTTCCTAAGATTGTGAAGCTCAGCCTCTTCTCAATGCATGCTTAACAAGTAGGAAAGTTGCCTTCATTGCTGTCATTCCCAGATTATCTATTACACAGGAATTGATGGCAGAGTTCTCTCACAAAGACCTAGTATGGTCACATTTGTAAACTGCTAAATTATTAGCAGACAATCTATTCCTCTCAAGACTCTTAATACTTAAGACCATCACCAAAAAGCTGAGAAAAATTTGGCATAAAAAAGTGGGCCCCATTACAGTACATTGCAGACTAAGCCCTTGGTACATATGGAGACTGTGGCTGGCACAGCAGTCTACTTCTATATCTCATATTATTTATTCAAAGGCTAAGAGACTTGATCTAAAAACCAGTAACAGAGGCCTTATATTGAGTCCAAAAAAAGTTACAGAAAATAAAAGTGTAACAAAGACAAAACAAGAAAAACAAAATTAACTTACTCTGACCTAGAGCCCAAAAAATAAAAATAATCAAAGAAGGGTTCTGCCATATTAGGAGGAGGAAGGCTCAAGTCCAGATCTCACACCATTTGGCTACTAACATCAACCAAAGAAGTTATGATATAAAGGTATTACACCTTTCTCAGAGAGCAGGATGGGTGGAGGGAGTACCTGTACAGTATACCCTGGCTATCCCCTTCATAGCATTGAGCTTTATAGGAAAAGCTACCACAAAACTCTTGTCTGCAATGAAACAAGGGTGTTACCATGCCAGTGGGTTATACTTTTTACTTTACTTTTATCCTCTTCACCACTGATCGGCTCGTTAGCCGCTTGGGCGATCGGTCATGTCTCTGATTACTTTTCCTTTTCTTTTATGGCTAAAAGGGAAGAAAGCTTCATTAAGCCTTTCCACAGAAAAGTTGCATTTTAGATGAAATTAAAATGAAGACACTTCTACTTTAGCCTGAAGATCAGGCTGAGAGGAAGAGGTTTGTTAATTTACCTTTTCACCACTGATCAGGTTACTAGCTGTTTGGGTGGTTGGTCTGTTCTTTTTTACTTTGTTACAACCTTCATTGTCCATTATTTATACAGTACAGGAGGAAACCTAGAGAAAATCTGTGATGTTTGGTAGGGTCAAACTGGATAACACCCTCTCACATCTGACACCGGTCAGGAATTGAACCAAAACACATATGTCTAAAAAGACAGTGCCTCCTCTGCTGTGTCATGGGTCTAAGGATTGCTTCCCCTCAGGAGAGCTTTGCCCTTTATGTCCTTGATTATCTTTGCTCTGAAATGCAATGAATGAAAAGTTGAAGCATGAGGTTACTTTTAGCTGAAGATACGGCAATAGAAGAGGATTCCAGAGCATTCTTCCATTTCATAGATACAGCACTTTATTCCTGAGGAAAAACTCCTGTTCAATTGTCTGAATTTTATGAAGAATAGACAGACTTGGGAAAAGATTGTATCAGTTGCTTTATATCAGCACCTCTCAAAAAGTTATCTTCACAATCCTCTTTTTGAATCTTGGCTGAGCCATGAAAAAATCCAGGACCGGAAAGTAAAGGAAGTTTTCAGGTTGAACTAAAAGAAACTCCCAGTGAACTAAACAACAGCTATACAAACATCAACTGGATACGTTATCTGATCTAGAGGAAAAACACTGTCCAAAAGTTAATGGGAAAGTAAATTAAAGAATGTCTGGCAAAGACAGCTTTTACAGAGCAAATTTAAGCCAAAGTTAATGATGTGTGGACTGTTCTCCCAGCCCTTTCCACAAGGGACCTTTCCAACAGTGGCAGCAGCTTTAATACACTTCAACAGGTCCAAGAAAATAATGCAACAAAGCTCATGTTTCTGGGGAGAATCATCAGTGAAGAAACTTATGGTACTGTATCACATAACACTAGGCCAGAAGAAATCTTCCTTCCCTACATCCCTCTTAAAGAGTCTACAAAAAAAAGAGGGTTGAACATCAAAACATTCCCATATCTTAACCCACACCGGACAGTCTCTGATACTCAGCGATAAAAGCACACGTGAAGATGTATCGAGTAACTGATTGTAAAGTTAAGTTACCCCCATAATGCAGTCTGGCCTTAGACAGCTCCATTAACTGACACACTAGCTGGAACCATTGATTAGACATTTAGCAAAGCAAAAACAACCCTTACAACAAGACCAATGAAGGCAATATAAAGTACACTGTATGCCTAAATTTTTTTCATACTGCCATGAGCTGTGTAGGTCCAGCCTAAACACCTCTCAAAAGATGCAAGTAATAATGGGATCCATACATTTAGCTTTTGAAAACAGGAGATGTGGCTGGCAGGCATTTGGTACAAAGTAGGTGGCTGGTAACTGATTTTGGGGATCACATCTGAATATAACAGTGAAGGTCAAACAATTGCGAGATGAAATGCAAACAGGTACTGTACTTTGATATCACATTATCAATAGATTTCATGCTTTCATTGGTAACTGTTTCTTCTAGTCTTCCTCTCTTAAGGACGATGGCTGCAACAAGAAATTCCTGAGTTACTTAACAGTTCCTACTGACCAGTCTTAAGATTTCTAGCAGAGGGTGGAGGGCTATAATGATCTTTTTAGGTGCACCTGTAACAAATTCATGAAGATGCTGTCCAAATTATTCACAGTCATTGATGAAAATGGTGACCATACCTTTGTGTATTTTTATTTTCTGGTGGTGTTGTAAATAATAAATCACAGCAAATTTCCGCTTTTACTTTACTTTTATCCTCTTCACCACCGATCGACTCGTTAGCCGCTTGGGCGATCGGTCACGTCTCTGTTACTTTTCTTTTTCTTTTATCCTCTTCACCAAATGATCGGCTTGTTAGCCGCTTGGGCGATCGGTCACGTCTCTGTTACGCACTGTTGGCAAGTACTGGACATGCACCAGCTCTTGAATGTACCTGAACCTGCTCCAGTGTTGGTCAAGAAGCCGCAAGTCCAGAAAACTGTGAGGGCAAACTTTTTCGTTGTGAGGGTTGTAAACTCTTGGAACAATCTACCAGAAAGTGTTGTGACGGCACCGAATGTGAGCTCTTTCAAGACCAGACTTGACCAACACTGGAGCAGGTTCAGGTACATTCAGGAGCCGGTGCATGCCCAGTACTTGCCAACAGTACGTAACAGAGATGTGACCGATCGCCCAAGCGGCTAACGAGTCGATCGGTGGTGAAGAGGATAAAAGTAAAGTAAAAGAAGTCTGCTCACTTTTTTGTTGCTCAGGAAAAGTTTATAGATTGTATAAGGTCTTACATTTAACAGTACTGTAATACCCTTTAAGGTGCTTATGAATGACTGAATGACTTACTGTCGAAATTTTTGAATACAAATTCCATTTGTAACCCAAAAATACAGTACTAATGTAGTGATAAACAAATTACTGTATGTTAATCATTCATTTACCTATGATAACATAAGAAACATTGTATCATTACAAGAATAATAAGAAGTCACACGATTTTTTCTATACTTCCCTCTCCCCTCCCTCCCTCCTCTAGTTTGGCATTCGTAGTACAGTATTTATTATGTATTTATAAGTTACAGTAGTACAGGATATATTTTTTGTGCATCATGTTTACATCTGTTAATTTTTCTTATCACTGCTGACCTGAGAAAATTTTATTCTATCTCATTTTGTCTTCTACCATAAAACCTTCCTGTAACTTATAGCTTACATTTAGCAGAGATGATAAGCTGAATTAATCTTTGAAGATTTATTAATTACCCAAGCATTTAATCGGGCAAAATAATTGGTTCTATAGTACAGTACAGTATACACAATACTGTACAGGGTATATTTAATATGAATTAAGTTAAACTCAGGGCTAATTCTTAGTCTTATTTTACAGGTGACCTGATCTTCAGGCTGATGACAAGTTTACACAAAATACTGTACCTACCTGTAACTACGTCAACTATGATGCCCATCATCTTTCATTTCTTTAAGGATGAACTCATTATTTAACACCCAACCAAAGTGAGTAAATATACATGAGATGCCTTGAAATTGTCAAGAAATTAAATAATGACCATGTCTCTGCCTCAACAAGTTAGTGTGCCATCAATGTCTGTGGCAGTAACAGTGTCAGTTGCTGTACCAGGTGTCCATGTGTCAGTCCCAGCTCTCAATGTTGCAGGAAAAGATGATCAGATGAATGTTTACTTCTGGAATAAATCACAGGAAAATCAGGATGCAAAACCTCAAGTCACAGGTGAAGGTAAGTATGAATGCATTGTCTGTGGTAAGTCTTACACACAGCGTAGTAGCTTTGAATATCACAAAAAGACTCATAGTGGTGAGAAACCTTTTCCTTGTGGGAGTTGTGGTAAAGCATTTCTTAACAAAAGTAGTTTAATTGTGCACAATCGTATTCACACCGGTGAAAGACCTTTTAGATGTGAGGATTGCGGTAGAGGCTTCACACAGAATAGTATGCTCAGAGTTCACCGCCGTATACACACTGGTGAGAGACCTTATGTTTGTTCAGAATGTGGTAAAGCATTTTATCAGAGTGATCATCTTACTAAGCATAAACGTATACATACTGGTGAAAAGCCATATAGCTGTGGTGAATGTGGTATGGCTTTCTCAGACAGCAGTGGATTGAGGCAGCATGTAAAAAGACATACAAAGATGGGTCCTTGGATATGTGAACTCTGTGATTTAGTTTATGAAAAGCGCACTCCTTTTGATCTGCACATGATGCAACACCGTGGTGAAAAACCTTTAGAGTGTGATGTTTGTGGTAAGCTGTTTCAGTATCGCTCCACACTTGATCTTCATCGAAAAACACATTTTAAGGAAAAAGTTTTCAAGTGTGATATTTGCGGAGAGGAGTTCACCGGTAAGGTTCTGTTACGAAAGCACATAAAGCACGTCCACACTGAGAGATATTTCGCAAAACGTTTTGCAGGTTGGATGGGTGAGAACAAAAATACCAAGTCACATGGAGATTCAAAACCACTTCGGTGTGACCAGTGTAGTTTGTTATTCAAGGACAATAGCAAATTTCTTCTCCACCAAAAAGTCCATCGTCCAGAGAAGAATTTTAAGTGTGAAGTGTGTGGTATGGCATTTGCTAAAAGTTATACTCTTGAAGTCCACCAGCAAATGCATCCACATGTTGCACCCCTTGTTGGTACTGCAACATTAACTGAAATTCCTTGTCAGGGTATTCCCACAACAAGCACAGGTGTAATGACCCTTACTCCACTTTACCCTGTAACTCACCAAGCACCAGTTGTGACTTCAGAGACACCACTGGTACAGCCACCCCCTGTGGTAATGCCAGGCACCAGCAAGCTTCCAACTTATGTAAAAGTCCCAATGCGTCCCATTGTTGTCAAGGGCAAACGAAATAAACAGTGGTGACTTCCCACTGTGCTTGTATGTGTTGTTTTATATATGCAATGGATATTCAGTATTTGTTATAACACTGCAGTGTATAGTTACAATCTGGATTGTTGGTTTGTAATCAGAGTAATATTAGGAATATTATTAGTACAAGTACCCTGTATATCAAACAAACAATATATGTACTGTATTATGTTTGAGAATATACTCAAGACTACTGATGTGATACTCTCCTAGAATAAGAATTACAGTATGCTTACTGTAGTCCAGTTGATAACACTGAGCACAAATGGATTTTGTGCTGTAAAGTTATACATTGGTAAACTTATAAAGTTTATCAGTGTAATGACCAAATAATGTCTTTCAACTAACATTTCTGTTTTACTTGACTTTAAACTATTTTTATCAGAACAAAATTTTATGTAATGTTCAGTGCAGCATCATTGTACAAAAACTTTCAAGGCTTGTAAAGGTGCAAAAGTTGTGACTTGTTAATACAAGTCCCGATTAATAAAATTAATGCCAGTGAACGTAGTACACATTTAATGTTTTCTGAGTGTATGCAATTTCTTGCCAGAGTTTTATTCAAGGAAAAACTTATTGTCAAAAATGGAAATACAGTTGTAGTGCATTTAAACTGTTGAAGTTGATCAAAATGCTGACCAAATAATGTCTTTCAGATCTTATTCCTACATATTTAGTTAGATTTAAGAAATTTTATGACAAATGATCTACGGGTGCCCAAGTTATCCGCCAGCTAAACTCTTTGTTATTAGAACCCATAACGCAGACTAAAGGAGCAGTTAGTGTTTCCAGATATAGTCACTCTTAGATCAAGCACAGTAAACTATAAACTCCAAATTTTAGTTCTTTATGTACTGGATCTACATTTTAGCTTAAAAAAAATGGAAGGCCATTAGCTCATCCACTTACATCAAGGAACATCTTAATCAAAATACTCTGATTCTGAATCAGAATTCTAAAGGTTAAAACTTGTAATTTCTGTTTCAGAAATGGTTATTAACACATTAGAGGGCAGTGGTGCACTCAGGTATTTTATTCTGGTTTACACGAGACGATTTTATTCAACCGAGAGAAACCCCTACCCTCTATAGGGTTAGAGTCATTAAACTGAAGCAATGAAGGTGCACAATCTCAAGGGCCTAACATATTCAATGGCTTTCCTAATAGGTATATCATTGTCTTCAATCCTGCATTGAGAAGCATAGTTGTCAACTTAAACCTTCCTATACAGATACTCGAGTGATGAGTTCACGCAAACAGACTGTGTGTCACAGGGAAGTATTATTTTACCATTAAATAGCAGTTAGAAGCTGGCTTATAACTTATGTCATCTACAGTACATAGGTGATAGATGAAGATTTGATCAAATCTTGTTTTACGACTGAGGCTCTAGTGGGTGTTATAGCAGTTTTCCCTTCTCCCAAGACCATGAAGTGAAGTGGCTTGGCACTGAGTGGGTGTGATCAAGTGCACGGTAATATATTTGATATGTTATGACCTTCTGTCTTTAATGGTAACAACTATTTCTTGGAGAGACCTTGAAACATTCTGGTTAGTTGGTAGGAGGCATAAATTTCAGTAGTGTATCCACTTTTTCAAGGTGTTTTTTATTGGAGTGGAGGGTGGCACTGTAAACTGAAGCTGAGCTGATTACATAAGTCACCCACTGTGGTTTCAGTCATTAATTGATATGTCGGGATCAATCCTTCATTTTTACTTATCCAGAGATTAATTTGTAAAGTTTAAAAAGTTGCTTCCCACAAAAAAATCAAGGATGGCAACTTTACTTTTATTTTGAAATTACATATTCAGTACAAGCCATGTAGCAAATAGTGTGATAAAAATTAGCTGCATTGATGTCAGTAAACTTAGGTTATATTTTGAATTTTGTGAATTGCTTGTTTTAAATGTTAGAATCTTATGAATAGTGGTGAAAGGTATGATGTGATCTTTCAAGTACACTTGAGAAAATTTCACAGCCCTTTTTAAAAATTCTGCTTGGCATAATTACCATTCATGCCAAAAAAGATTATCAGAGATCTTCCAGTGTGTAAGACCTTACACAGTATAGATAACATAACAAAGATGTTGAGATGTTGCCATCACGTCCCAAGTCATTATTACTCTCAAGATAATTAGTTTGTGATATGAATGGAGTACAGTAGTGTTTAGTGCACTTGATTTGCATGAAATGTGATTACAGTACTGTACTGTACTAAAAAATTAGTGAAACATCTTTGTCAGGGGTATGACTTTTAGGGAAGTTAGCAACTTAAAAGTTAAAAAATATATTACTGTATTAATAAGTATTAAAAAAAACTCAGATTCAATATACAGTTTTGGTTACATAGGGCTGTTGTTTATATGAAATTTATTGGTGCTAAGCTGCCATTGAAATTTAATTACGTATATATATATATATATATATATATATATATATATATATATATATATATATATATATATATATATATATATATATATATATATATATATATATATATATATATATATATATATATATATAAATACTGTATAATGTTTGAGTAATTAATAAATATATCTAACATTTCAAGAATACCTGCATTGTCATTTTGTAGACCACCTGTATTCTTGTTAGTTCATACAGGTTTTATCGTGTTAAGCAAGAGTACAGTATTAATAAATATTACATACATTATGGAGTACAGTATAGCAAATGAAACAGATTATTATGAAATCAAACCACAGTAACAATGGATAGAAGAACCAAAGTTGTGGATGAATCTTTTAAACGCCAACTCAGGCCTGTGGTGTGGGATCTCATACCAAATTCCTCTTAATTTCTTGCCAATATCCAGTCTATGAAGGCTTGAGGTTAAGTGGACAGTGCTGCCTCTTACTCATTACTTACCAGTTTTAGTTTATGCTTAATAATTATTTTATACTGTATTTAGTATTTCAGGGATCAAGGTGGGTGTTTATATTTGGCAGGAAGGAAGGTTTGTCAGTTTATATTGTTATCCATCTTAACACTATACAAGCTTTACATTAATTTGATCTTTGAATATAACTCACATGAATTACTGGTGGCAACTAAGTTAAGTGATGTTGGTTTACATTTCCTAGAGCTGAAGGTCTAATGTTTCAGTTTTGAGGAAGTTTGGTTAGTACACAGACTCAGTCATCTTTCCTTAGTGAAACTTTAGCCAGTAACAACTAGAACTAGCTGCTATGAGAATGTAATAGAATACATATTTGGATTAAAGGAAATTTAACGTTCTGCATATGAAATTTTCTGTTGAGGAAAGTTTGTGTACAGTACTGTACTTCTTTTTGTTCCAATTGAGAATACTTGGGAAATCATAATGAGGTACTGAGCCATGTTGTTTACTAGAGATTATTGAACAAACATCAAACCAGTAGTTATGTAACTATTTATGCGCTTTGCATATATTTTTCCCACTAAATCAAGGTTTCCAGTCTCTTATATTATGAATGGTTGATTCTGTTTTTTATCCTATGTAGTGCCCCAGGGAGTAAATAAAACCTTACGAGACATTAGACACGAAAACAAAATTAATGTTGGTACGGTGACCAAGTACGTATATACAGTACGTGTATGTGAGTTGTAGAGCCATTGTTCAGATGTAGATTGTGTCATTTTCTAATCAGTTATTTTATTTTATACAGTATTAACTAATAAACAGATTCTTTTTCTTTTAAGTACAAAAATATATAATTACCAGCTATTCATTAGCCTTATCAAACTTTCAGTGTTCATCTCTTAATAAACCTAATTAGGAATAGAAAATAGGTATAGCACACTGTTAATTAATTATATTTATTAATAAAGATAAAATGCTGTACTGTACTGTACTATGTTGCAGATCTACTATAAAAATTACAGCAGGTACAGTTATGGACAAAATGAATTCTGCAAGAGGGAGTGTTAGCTGCACCTGCTTCATAATTATAAAAAAAAAAATTAAATAAAAATGTGGTGTGGAAAGAAAATTGCAGACTTTTAATTATCGCCTCTATGAGATGCTGCCAAGTCTCTACCTACCTTTACCCTTCCATATATATCACCTCCCTCCCTATCTCCCTGCCAAATTCTTTTTGTCCACAACTGTACATTTATAAATATATATAAAAGGTGGAAATTGTTTCATTCTTATTCTAATGGTTGAATGTATCTGCCTGAGGTTCATTTTGGGAGTCTGGTAAACAGTATAGTACATTTAAAGAAAGTGAAATACTGTACCTCTACCTTGTTAATATTACCTGTACCAATATCTGAATTTTTGCATACATGATCTTTGAGAGAATAGGCATTGGTGTTTGATTTTACCAAATTTCGTATGTTAGTAACTTAGTGGAGTGATAAAAGTGGATGACTTATTGGACAATCATAAAAGTGGATGACTTATTGGACAGTTATAAAAGTGGATGATTTATTGGAGTCATAAAAGTGGATGACTTATACTCTACTTTAAAATATATGAAGAGTCAATTCTTTGTTATTTATAAATTTCTTGTTTTTCACTTCAAGCCCTATTTCTCAACACACATGCTGAATATCCACGAACTTTTACCTCTTGATGCAGTTCAATATTTTCCCGTTTCAGTTCATTGGTCCATTCTTCAGAAAGTGTTTATAATATATGTGATTTCACACTTTTTCTTCTATGCCTCATTTTACTATATGCATTGATTTTATGTTCTCACTGCAGTTTACCAGTTGCATATTCATTTACTATGCACAGGTACTGCATACTAAAATACAGTTAACCCTCACTTTACGCGGTTAATGTAACCCGGAGGGTCCCGCGTAAAGTGAATAACATAACATATGGGATTAATTGAAATGGAGTCTGGGCCGATCCCCAAACTCCACTTTTTGACGACACACAACTATGTTGTAGTAAAAATATTATCTTAACTTTATGATGGTATGCACACACAATTAATAATTAAGAGAAATATCAATAATATTAGGTTTTTTAACACTTACATTAGTAGAAAAAATGGCTGGGCACACGGGGATGGGCGGTTGGTTCCGAGGCAGAGGGCAGATTATTGGCCCTCACCTGTGTCACTTGTATCAATTGTATCACTATCCACCACAGAGGCTTGCAGGGCCTCTTTGTCAAACTCCCCAAAGTCCATATAAGTCCATATCCTCACCATAATTATCACTATCACTGACTTGGGCCGGCTGTGGTGGGTGGCGGGTGAAGAACTGGTAATGTTTTGATGACTGGGCGACCTTGTGCGCACCATGTTCGCGCAGCTTACACAACATGGCGGATGGCGGTAGGTTTGGATCCAAAAATGGCGCGGCTCGCCAGCCGCTCTCCGCGTAAAGGGGTACACGCACCGCGGAATGTGAGCATCCTGGGTTCCGGCAGGGCACCGCGTAAACGTGGAAACGCGGAATGTGGGACCGCGTAAAGTGAGGGTTAACTGTACAGTAATTTAAAGACATATATACCAGTGCACATGGATATTACAGTGTCCACAACCTGTATGCATCTGTAACCCCCTGAATCTGCATGGTGTGAGGGTTACTGTCTTCTTAAAATCAGAGGCCCAAGATCTATATAGTTCTCAGCCTTCAGTCTATCTGATTTATAGTTTCAAGTTCTCTATATAGTCCTCATCTCTCCTTCATCATTTGTGTCAATGTCTCGGGAAACTTTAGAAGCACAACAAAATGTCATGATCATCATTAGAAGCCCAAAGCAAAAAGCTCCATAGTGAATAAATATAAGATTTTCTCGATGTGTGGTGAAAATCTCTCGTTCTGTTGGAGTGAAGTTCGAAGTGGCATTCTGCTGTGTGAAGTACCATACCACCAACATGACAGAGTTTTCGATGAACAGTAAAATAGAGTAAAGAGTGTAGGGGAACCATGGTGCCACCTGTAAAATTACCAAGAGTTTGTGATCAGACAAGTGACTAATATACACATACTGTAGTTAGTGCATGATACAAACAGTTATTTCATTACTGTTTGGTAATCCACTGAGTTTATTTCTTAAGTATAGAATATGTAAGTACTAGACAGTAAACCCTCGATAACTTGGTATGTGATAACTCGGAGTTTCATATAACTCGGCATGGATATGGTCTCGGAATGTATAAGTATAACTCAGAAAATGTTGAGATATATAAAATTATCTGGGAAAATTTTGTCTTATCTGGCCACCTGCATCACCTACCACGCCTCTGTGTCACCTACTATGATGCTTCATTCTTCACCTGCAGTGCTGGAAAGTGTTACTTTTTTTTACATTTAGTAATGACAGTGATCCTCGGTTAACGAACGCCTCAGTTAACGAATTACCTTCCATAAGATTCTTCACTTCGGTTCACGAAAAAATTTCGGTTAACAAATTCCTTACGAATTTTTCCCAACATGTTTTCGCCTGCTTTTGCCTGCTCACCAGCTGTAGTATTAGTCCGCCAATACAGTAATCGGTTTTAGGGCTTAAATTCCTTACCATTTTAGTAAATATCAAGAAAGTTGTACTATTCAATAAATTTCCAAGTTTTATATTAATGTTTTTAGTCATTTTAACAATTATTTGAAATAATTGAAGTACAGGAAACTAGTTTTTAGGGCGCCAAACAGCCACTTGACCCACCCAAAATGGTGTCAGTTTGTGTCCCTGCTCAGTGGAGGAAGCATCTGGCTTGAGACTCTTTTGAACATAAACTATTTTTACGTTTTTACAGTACAATTATTGGTCATTCTGAAGTTTATTTTACATATTGACAATATATAATGCAGTGCAGTGTTGATTTAAAGAAAATAATCTTGAATTACACCAAGTGAACTAAAATTTTATGGTCAAATGGCGACATGAAGCATGGGGTGACTTCTCTTCCACCCCAATGCATTCTCTTCTCCCTTCTCCTCCACCCCCATTCTAATTCCCATCATCATCATCATCAACCAGGAGCCTTCTAAATGCACACCTCAAAGTAAGTGTACTTTACTGCATTTATTTTTAGTTTGTATGTAATTTTCGGTGAGCTGGAACCAATTAACGAAATTTTCGGTTAACGAACGACCTTCTGGAACGAATTGTGTTCGTTAACCAAGGGACCACTGTACATGTACACATATATGGGTCGACAGTTTTTTATTGTATTTTTTCTAAAAGGGAGAAAGTGCCTCAATATGTCGGAATTTGGGCTAACTCGGCAAGGCCAGAGCCCCATATATGCTAAGTTATCGAGGGTTTACTGTACCTATATAAATGTTCTCACCTTTAATCGAGCTTTCATATTAAACTCTAAGTAGGCAAAGATGAAGACAAAAGCACTGAAGAGATATATGAATATCCTCCTGACTTTGTTCTTGCCAGCAGCAACTGTCTGGAAGAGGAACACCAGCACAACATGGCTGCCAATAACCAAGATGATCCACCATTTGAGAGAACCAGCAAAGAGTGCCAAAACCTCAAACCTGGCCACAAGGAATGACACCCACCACAAAAATGCCATTATCTGTAATGGATGTTGTGGAATATTTGTTAATTAATTAATTAATTATATATATATATATATATATATATATATATATATATATATATATATATATATATATATATATATATATATATATATATATATATATATATATATATATATATATATATATATATATATATATATATATATACACACCCTCACTTTACGCGGTCAATTGAACCCACGGAGGCCCGCGTAAAGCGAGAAACGCGTAAAGTGAACAACATAACATATGGGATTAAATGAAATAGAGACCGGCTGACCCTCAAACTCCACTTTTTCCGACACAATACCTATGTTCTAGTAAAAATAACATCTTAATTTTATGATGGTACATGCACACAATTAATACTTAAGAGAAATAGAGAAATACAGTCGCTAAGTTAATGTCCATTAAAATAATGGACTCAACTCCCTCCCCCTCTTCTCACACTACACTCGCTGGCTCTTCCCTCTCTGAGAAATTTTTTGGGGAAAACCACTAGATTTTAAGGTATAGTAATAAATAATACCTCAAACTAAAGTTAGGATAATATAATTGACATTGCTGGATTCCTTGTAAGACCAGGAATATTTTGAATATAAATGTAATATATTTTGCACAAAAGATAACATATTTACTCAGAGTAAACAAAATACTTACATGGTGCATCCTAGAGTGCTAAGAGAGCTGTGCAACGAGCTTGCAGAGCCCCTGAAGATTCTGTTTTGTAAATGCCTGGATGAACAAATGGTCCCCAGTGAATGGAAAGTGGCTTATGTGAGTCCTATCTTCAAGAAGGGCGATAGTCACTCCACGAACAACTATAGACCGGTGAGCCTGACCAGCATAATATGTAAAGTACTTGAGAGTATTATCAGAGATGCAGCGATGGAACATCTACTACGAAACAACCTTGTAAAAGATTGCCAACACGGTTTTATGCCGGGGCGCTCTTGCTTGACACAATTGCTCAAGGTATTGGATATTTGGACCCATATTCTAGAACGGGGTGGTAATATCGACAATATTTACCTAGATTTTGCCAAGGCTTTCGACAGTGTACCCCACGAAAGGCTGAAAATCAAACTGGAAGGGTACGGAATTCGGGGAAATGTCCTAGCGTGGATAGAAGACTTTCTACATGACCGCAAGCAATGTGTGGTGATTAATGGCACGAAATCGTCATCTGTACCTGTAACAAGTGGGGTACCGCAGGGTAGTGTATTGGGCCCGCTGTTGTTTGTTTGTTTCATAAATGATATGCCTGACGTTGTACACTCCTCCATACAAATGTTTGCCGATGATGGCAAGTTATTTCGGGAAATTAAGAACCAAGCGGACTGTGAAGAGCTGCAGAAGGACCTCTGTGGGCTCCAGGAATGGTCGAAGGAATGGCTGCTGAGATTCAATGTCACGAAGTGTAAGAGGATGCACCTGGGGCGTACCAACGGTAAGGAGGCGTACCATATGTCCCAACGGGATGAAGAAAATGTACTAGTTGAGACTGTGTGTGAGAAGGACCTAGGTGTGTATGTTGACAATGAGCTGAAGTTCTCGGGCCATTGTGAGAAGAAGGTAAATCAGGCAAATAAATTATTGGGTCTTATAAGAAGGTCGTTCAGATATCTAGACGGTCCGTCCCTCGTGACAATCTTCAGGAGTGAAGTGCTTCCCCATCTGGAGTACTGTCACCCCATCTGGTCCCCGAGATATGCTAGGGACTGTCAGTTGGTTGAAAATGTTCAAAGGAGGGCCACCAAACTGGTGCCTGCACTTCGGCACCTCAGCTACCCTGAGAGATTGGAGCGCCTGAACTTGCCTAGCTTATACTACAGACGGGCAAGGGGGGACCTAGTTGAGGTTTATAAGCATCTCAGGGGGCACTACTCAGTTGAGTGTCCTTACTTGGAGCTGGCGGACGCTCGCCCCACAAGGGGTCACAGCTCAAGATTGAAGAAGCCGCAAGTCCAGAAAACCGTGAGGGCAAACTTTTTCGGAGTGAGGGTTGTAAACTCTTGGAACAATCTACCAGAGAGTGTTGTGACGGCACCGAGTGTGAGCTCTTTCAAGAGAAGACTTGACCAACACTGGAGCGGGTTCAGGTACATTCAGGAGCCGGTGCATGCCCAGTATTTGCCAACAGTGCGTGACAGAGACGTGACCGATCGCCCGGGCGGCTAGCGAGCCGATCTTTTGGTGAAGAATATAAATGAAAAGAGACGTGACCGATCGCCCAAGCGGCTAACAAGCCGATCAGTGGCGAAGAGGATAAAAGAAAAAAGAGAAAAGAAAATCTATGATGTTTATATTCAAAATGATCATCAAATTGTAAGAATTCCAGCAATGTAAATTATATTCTGGCCGGGTAACTTGTATGAATTTTATGAGCTAAAACAAATATCTTCAGTTAATCAAAAAAAAAAATATTCTTCACAACACTATCTGTCAATCAAAGTACCCCACCTTGCCTCCCCCCCTCTTCCAACCACGCCAGATGGTCGGTCAGTCCCTCCCTCCCCCCACCCCCACCAACCCTCCCTACCAGATAAATGTTTGGGAGAAACCAGAATATTTACCTTTTTAGTAATAAATAATACCTCAGACAAAAGTTAGGATAATATAATTGGCATTGCTGGATTCTTTGCAAGACCAGGAATATTTTGAATATACACTTCATATATTTTGCACAAAAGATAACATATTTGCTCTGAGTAAACAAAATACTTGCATTAGATCTAAAATTTGTATGTCTAATGCAAAATCTATGATGCTTATATTCAAAATGATCATCAAATTGTAAGAATTCCAGCAATGTAAATTATAATCTGGCCGGATAATTTGTATGAATTTTATGAGCGAAATAAAAAAATTATACTTCACCCGCGTAAAGGGGTACACGCACCGCGGAATGTGAGCATCCCGGGTTCCGGCAGGGTACTGCGTAAACGTGGTAACGCGGAATGTGGGACCGCGTAAAGTGAGGGTTGACTGTATATATATATATATATATATATATATATATATATATATATATATATATATATATATATATATATATATATATATATATATATATATATATATATATATATATATATATATATATATATATATATATATATATATATATATATATATATATATATATATATATATATATATATATATATATTATTTACTTATTTTATTTATTTATTTTTTTGCCATCTTAGTATACAGTGCTTTCAGTGCCCTTCCCACATGATAAAAAATACTGTACAGATGTTCTAGAAAAAAAAACGGTGTAAAATTGTACTGAGTACTGTACAGTAGTGCCCTCCAAGATGTTTATAAACTTCAATTCGGTTACCCCTTGCCCATCTATACTGTAGTACCTGTATAAACTAGGCAGTTGCAGGCATTCTAATCTCTCTGGGTAACTGAGATGCAGTTTGGTGGTCCTCCTTTGGACATGTTTTCATGTCATAGATACATCAAAATATTACAAGGGCTTACTCGTATATAAATAAGTTTTCCCTTTAATTGCATCAGAAAAAAAAATACAGTGATTAGTGGGTCAGTAAAGATAATTTATGACAGTATAGTACAGTACAGTATAACAGAAGGCAGGAAGAAGAAAGATGAACATATTAAGAGTAGAGCTGAGTTTATAAATGATTTGATGAGGTCTTGGTACACTGTATATCAAGGAAAGAGACTGGACAGTACAGGTCATAACAAAGAACAGACCATTTACCTGTACGGTTAATAAACTGGTAAGTGGTGAAAAGAAAAAAAGAAGATACTGTAATGGAGAAAATTCTTGTAAAAAAGGAAAGAAATGTAAATCCAGTAGCAAGACTTTTCATCCACTATGTGTAAGATCCCACATAACAGCAAGAGTTTCTCATAGAGTTAAATAAACAGTCAAGTCTACATAGGTAAATGAAATCAAAGACTTTGGGTCATACCTGAAGAAGGCAGGGAAGCTTAAAGCGCTCATTTTCTTCCATGTCACCATTAATAATCTGATTGGTTGTAACATTCTTCTGATAGGTGGAGATGACCTTTGAGGCGAGGGTTACCATTGAGAAGGACAACTGCACCGCCTCTATTGTTTCTGTGAAAGCAAGAGAAGCAATTCAAATGAGATGTATTATTGTGAGTACTGAAAAAATACAATATATAGTATTATTACATTTATAGTGTGTGTGTCTGTGAGTGTGAGTAGGGGGAGAAAAAGATCATAACCTCCAAAAAGTCCTATGGCAACTGGTGGATATGACTGCTGGGATTCCCTAGTCACAACTCTACACTTGGTCAGCAAAGATAAAGTGGCCGTTTATGCACTGGGATTTAGGCAGCAGTGCGGTTCGATCTTGGGTGTGTAATTGAGCAGTCCTTCTCAAGAGCCACTCTGCTCACCCTGCATGGGGTGGTGGTGGGGGGGGGTTGAAAAGCTGCCCTAAATATAGCCTTCCTACTATAATTCTCCTGATTGGGCAACCCTATGTGGTGAGAAACATGAAAAATTATCAAAATAGATTACACAACCTCTTATGTTGCTGCATGGAATATCAGGTCCCTTGTGGATACTGGCACAGGAGAGTACCCTAAAATAAGAACACCCCTTGTGGTGAAAGAAGTGTTTAAGTATAGAATTGACAATTTGACATAGCAGCCATAAGCGAGACCTGGCACACAGACGAGGTTCATCACATGGAAAAGAGGACTGGCTATACAGTACCTTCTTCTGGAAGGGTTAGCTTGCTATGACATTGCAGTCACATTTCTGGAGCCGGCTTTGACATTCACTATACAGTACTATTTTGCACAACAAACTAAGATGTCTGCTGGGATCAAAGAGTGCCTCATGATGCCTCATATCCCTCTGGAGGTCTTTTATGCTGACCTTGATGGAGTGCTGTCCTCCATCTCCAAGGAAGTCAAGGTTGTCCTTCTTGGTGACTTCAATGCCAAAGATGCTGACTTACATCAAGGTATATAATATAGGGAGAAGTGGGGTGGGCAAGTGTAGTACCAAAGGACTACTACTCCTCAGCAAGTGTGCTGAACACTACTTTAATATCACCAACAACTTGTTTAGGCAGCTCAATAAATTCTAGCCAACAAGGTAGACATCCAATACCAAATGAAGGAAGTTCTTAACATAAGCCGAGTCCAAGCAAGAACAAGGGTATCAGCCACTTCCATCACAGAAATTCAGTATGTAGATTACCTCATCCTCATTGCTCACACTGAATGCAACTTGGTTCAGTCACCCTTCCACTGTCCATTCAGGTTAATGGGACCATCCTCTCCAATGTTAACCATTTCCATTACCTTGGCTCCCACCTGTCCACCACTGCAGACATTAATGAGAAGATCCAGCATCAGAGATGTGCATCTCAAGTTTTTAGCAGACTGCATACCTGCATCTTCAGCTGTGGGGACTTGAAAGTAGCAACAAAGCTGCACATCTATCGATCAGTGGTCCTCCCCACCCTGCTGTATCGCAGTGAGACATGGGTCACATGCAGGAGACACCTCAAGGCACTTGAGAACTTTCACCAACGTAGTCTGTATTCCTTCCTCCGAGTTCGCTGGGAAAATAAGAGGATAAATGCCAGTATTCTTGCTTACACCAATTACAGGAGCATTGACGGTGACATCATACATGATCAATTACATTGGATCAGCCATGTTACCCACAAGGATGACAATAAACTACTAAAGTAGTTTACTCTACAGCTGTTTAAAGAATAGCAAACATAGTGTTGGCAGGCAACGGAAAAACTACAAATTGACACTCGCACCTAGGAGATGATAACCCTACATTACAACATTTAGAGAAACACCTTTCAAGAGGGTGTTAAAGCTTTTGAGTTTGCTTGACCTCAAGCCAAGGTGGACAAGCACCACTGTCAGAAAGATTAAGCTGCTGCTACTCCTGCACTAAATGTAGTCTACTACACATGCAACATCTGCAGACAACCCTGCCAGTCCATACTGGTGTCTCAAGCCACGTTAGAGTTAACTGAGGAGGGTGACACCATTAAAAACTCCTAGCATTCCGTCATCATTGGATGATTAGTATACTGTACTAAATTCTCAGTGACAACATAGAAAGAGTGTGTGTGTGTATTTATCCCTTCATTCTTGTCTAGTATATACACCCTTGGTTATGTTGGTCAACCACCAATACATGTTGAATTACACACCTATTTGAGAGAATGGGAGCTCCTGTCTTCTGAGTGTGATCTTGTAGAGGCGGAGAAGTATTTGAGGGGCTGCCTCGGTGAAGGCCTCCAGGAACTTGAGGAGATAAGCACGACTTGGGCGGTTTAAGTACTTGAGGTGGTGGGCACGCTTGCTAGGGATAAGGGCCATAGCCCCATGGTAGATCTGGTGCACATCTCTGTCAGGAACATAAATATGAATATGTTTTATATCTGTCAGTATTTTTCACCATAATCTTACCTTTTTAATAGTCTCCAAAGAAAAATGTTAATTATTTAATTTACTTTCTTGAACACTGTAATTCTGTTGAAAGCTTTTATCCAAGTACCAAGATAGTACAGTATATATCTTGGATATTACACACCACTCTAACTTTGCAATTTTCATCTTGGTTTTCCATCCTAAAAGAAAAGCTAAAGTTGCATATTTTTTTAATTTCCTTTCTGCTGGATTCCCAATGCAATTTGTTCAATGCAGTGTGTGCTTGTATACATCTGTACATTTGTATGTCTGTCTGTCCGACCTACAAGGCCAGTGATATAGGTATGTCATCAGATGACTTGTTTAGATGTCAAATCTGTAACTAAAATGGTCATGAAACACATTTTATCTTAATTCTCAGACCCCCTAATCCCTGAAAATCCCTGGATACTGTCTTTGTATCCATGATAAGTTCATCCAGCCCTGCCTTCTCCTGTCTCTTTTCCATTGTGGCTTAACTGTCTTAATAAGAATCTGTTCCTCAGGAGGTGTGGCACTTACCTGGCAACAGGCCAGAGAGGCAGGATAGGGAAACTGATGAGCCAGAGTGGAGCCTTGAGGCATGCCAGAATCCCCGTGTGGGTAGTGAGGACCTCTGTGAAGGCGAATAGGGCAAAAAGAAAGCCTGGGGCAAACACAAGCCCTATGGTGATGGAGGCGAAGACCACATCTCCTGAAAGGAAAATAAATACTTTTTTTTACACTGTGATGAACTAGGGGTAGTATGCCTTCTGGAGGACAATGCTGTTGACAGTGACTTATACTCTGGGTAGGCTTGTGGAGTACACCGTAGATATGAAAGATGAAGGTATTGTATGTGCCAAGTTGTGAGGTAAGATGTAGATATGTGTCCTACATTTAAAGACATCTAGGATGTAGGCTGATGAAACTTCCAGTGTTGAGAATTACAAGGAATGAAGGAAAGGCTCGACTAAAGGGAACTTGCATAGAGTAGGGGTGCCATGATAGGGAATGTTGTGTTGTACTGTATGTTGTAGCTGGGGTTGTAACTTTGGGGAATGATGGATTTTATTTGAGTGACACAATAACCATGAAAATTGCAGTGAGAAAGAGACAGTGAAGAGATATATTGTCTGGTATAGAAGGGTGATATGGAGAAAATGTGGGGCCAGCAGCTGATGAGGCAAAAGTTTTGAATTGTGTTTTATCTATTCGTAATAAGTCTTGATGTACTATGGAGCACCATCTCACTAACAGGACGGGCAAGGGGGGACCTAGCATCTCAGGGGGCACTACTCAGTTGAGTGTCCTTACTTGGAGCTGGCAGACACTCGCCCCACAAGGGGTCACAGCTCAAGATTGAAGAAGCCGCAAGTCCAGAAAACCGTGAGGGCAAACTTTTTTGGAGTGAGGGTTGTAAACTCTTGGAACAATCTACCAGAGAGTGTTGTGACGGCACCGAGTGTGAGCTCTTTCGAAGACAAGACTTGACCAACACTGGAGCGGGTTCAGGTACATTCAGGAGCCGGTGCATGCCCAGTATTTGCCAACAGTGCATGACAGAGATGTGACCGATCGCCCGGGTGGCTAGCGAGCCGATCTTTTGGTGAAGAAGATAAATGAAAAGGAAAAGTAATCAGAGACGTGACTGAATCGCCCAAGCGGCTAACAAGCCGATCAGTGGCGAAGAGGATAAAAGTAAAAAAGTAAAAAGTAACAGGAGGGTGTATTCTATGTGAGGGTGAACATAGCCTTTGTAATTTGTAAATGGTAAATGTTGAGCAGCAGCAAATTATGGATAAACCAGAGCACAAAACTAGTATTTTAGATGCATTCTTTGTAATGTTGAAAATTTGGTGTTCCTAGTGAGGTTGATAATTAAAGTAAGACGAAGGATATTGACACTGGTGGCTGGGAAATGGGGATGCTAAGAAGTAAAACAAGAGGATGGATGATATGAAATGAGACAGCAAGAATTTATGTTTGGGAAGTAATGAATGTAACTTTTTTTTTATTGGTTAGCTACTTGTGTTCATGGCAGTTGTAAAAATTTGGCAATCTACTGAGAGATATGGCCAGATATGGCATTAGAAGAGTAAAACAAACTTTGGTGTAGGTTAGTGTCATCAACATAGACATCAATTGTTATACTCTTTACATTTTACTTTTACTTACCGCTGTGGTAGTCAGCCATGGCCACGCCCACATCAGTAATAATATCTAACACATAGAAGACGAGCTGCAGTGCCCTCCCCACAGTATACCTGTCAAGTAACATTAATTAAGGATTTCCAAAAAATATTTCACTACACTTTCACGTCACATTGGGTTAAATGTATACGTGATGACTGTTTAATATGCAACATTTTATAATAGAATATTCAACATTGTTTTAGTTACACAAACAAGAGGATATGGGCAAAAGCCACTTAATATCTACATCACATTAACCTTACAAAGGGTTAATGTATAAAGTTTAACTCATTCACTTGTAGCATAGTGTATGTGGCTAGTTGTCAAATTTATCTTTGTGTTTGTCTATTCTCTCTTTGTTGGGCTCACATACATACGTACATGTAGGAGATCTCGCACTAAGGATGGAGGTGAGAAAGGAAACTCACTATGACGTTATATATATATATATATATATATATATATATATATATATATATATATATATATATATATATATATATATATATATATATATATATATATATATGTGTGTGTGTGTGTGTGTGTACAATGCAGTGCTAGGGAGTTGCTGTGTGGTGAGCAACTTGTTGAGAGGTCTTGTCTGTTTGAGAGCGTTGAGTAGAATGACCTTCGCGGCTGTTGTTGTTGTTGTTGTTGAGATTGTCGGACTGTAGTCCGACACGGGCCTTTGCTTGTACGTGTAGGCGGCCTGTTTGGTGGTTCCGGCTGGAGTTCTTGGAGCAGCCAGACTGGATTTTGGATTGGAGGTTGTCCTACCTGCAGATATGAAAGGATACTGCAGGTTTGCAAGTGTGAGCGGACCCTCGGCTAGTGAGCACTTACCACCTACCCCCACTCTTGGACGGTGAGCACTTACTACCTACCCCCACTCTTGGACGGTGAGCACTTACCACCTACCCCCACTCTTGGACGGTGAGCACTTACCACCTACCCCCACTCTTGGACGTGGTCAGTTTCGGAGTGGCGCGCCCCCCGAACTGGGGTCCGCACTTGCTGGGGGAGGATACTTCCTAAGCTATCTGGGTGGTGGGTATCGTGTGATTACCCGGAGAAGGTGGTGAATGTGGTTTGTTTGGGCCTTTCGGGTTAGAGTGGCCGCTGGTGTTGTGTGTTCTTGGAAGTTTCGAATTCTGTTTCGGAGACTTTGTGTGACTTCGCAGTCGAGGAGATAGTGTTCCAGTGGGTTCGCCGCTGGCTCCTGACAGTAGGTGCATTCCCTGACGACATTTCCGATCGTCTGCCAGGTGTACTTGTACCCTAGTCGTAGTCGATGAAGGCTAACTTGGGTTTGTCTTGGTGTTTTCTTGTCCGCGAATGGTGGTTCCCCTTTTGTAGCCACCAGGTACCATTTGGCTGATTGGGAACCAGCGTTGAATGCGTCAAGGAAGCTCGTTTGGATATGGAGCTTGTTAGTCTTTCTGAGGTGGTTCTTGATCTGTTGCACGCTTGCTGGAACTTGAATGTGTACGCTTCTAGAACGTGTAGCTGCCTTGGCTGCTTCGTCTGCCGTGTCATTTCCCTCGATCCTTACATGACTGGGAATCCAGTGTAAGACGACTGGGCGATTTTGTCTTTGGAAGTTTCATAACTGAAATACTGACGCAGAAAACTGAAGTGCTGTGAACGATACGTGTGTTGTGCCTTATGTACGGTACATACAACTATTCAGAGATACGAGAAAACATCACTTCATTGTCCATACACACATTGATACTAAGGCAAAATTATGGCAGTTTAGGTAAGTTTGGCTAAATTTACTAAGTATGTACTTGTAGATTTTGTTCTGATGATGATGAGATGGAGGGTAGAGAGCCGTTTGCTCTGAAGATGGAAGACGGTGTAGGAAGAAGGTAAAGTTAGGAAGTGGGAAATAAAGTGGGAGATTTGATAGCAGGTGGGCTATCCACCTTCTTAATACAGTATGTTTATTATTGTTCTATTGATGACCAATGTACAGTACAATACTTCCATAATAATACATGTAATTTCGCAGAATTTGGTACAATGTTTTTAGTCACTTTAGGAGTTTAAATTGACTACATTTATACTAATTACTTAAAACTAAACTAAAATATAAAAACACTTGGAATTAAAACATCATCCGAGCAGATGCAAAATTCCTAGACGTCATCGTTTTCTTTAACCCTGAAAAACTCCATTATACTCTGGCAATACTAAGTCAATTTTAGTGGTGTTCACTAAAAGTTTATCAAATACACGTTGTCATATGTTTACCAAATGTACCAAGTTTGGTACAAATCTGCAAAACCGTTCTCGATTTATTTTGGGGACACAGGTAGACAGACAGGACAGAAACAATACCCGGTCCGGTACCTTGGATCTGTAGTTTTAAACACCCTCTTCCCCCTTCCACGTATAAAATTCGTAGTTAGGATACGGGTTAGTTCCGTTTATTGAGAAAAAAGAACATGACACTGGGTAAATATGAGAGATGAAATAAAAGATACAAGTAGGTAGAGTAATAGGTAAGTAAGGACAAATCGATTAATTACAAGCGCACTTAGCCATAGCCTCAAAATCAATCAATCAATCAATCAAGGATATTTTATTGCGGGAAGTTGGGAAGGTCTTGACGGCCAGCTAGTCCTTGCGCAACACATTATACATTTGACGTCCATTAAATATTAAAATGTAGCGGTTCTAGGCGTCAACTTTCAACGTACATTTAGTTTAATTTTACAACACTTCATCTTTCCCAAAACATCTTCCCTTTGCATATTTACCTTAGTATAAGAATTATTGTTAAATAGTCAGAGAATATGTGGCAAATTATCGTTCGGTTTCTAACCTTTTTTTCAGAATAAAAAATTCTGCGGTGTACTATAGTATTTACTTTCTTCCTCTACTGATGCGAAATAGAGTAAATCCTTTGTATAGAATGTTTCACTGAACCAAAACAGCCTTGTGCAAGGTTTTGGACGATTTCGTAATTAACAAATACTCCAGGGTGTTGTTTCATCTTTCTTTTGATGCCGTTAATCATCAAACGTTGGTTGGTTGAGATTGTTACCGTTCACTGGAGTTAAGAGGATCGACAAACACTGGGGATCAAAATGCAATTGAATATTAACAAAGTGTGCCAGTATACAGTATACTGTATGTGTGAAGACTAACTACATGATATGTTACCTGATAAGAGGCAACACAATTCGACAGCCATAACAGTAATTTACACTAACACACTAACTATTTTACCATCTTAAGTAGATCAGTTCGTTTACTTTGACAAGGATATGGCATGGTAGCCCAAGGACTATAAACAGTATTTTATTTATCCCTGTGGTAGCCTCTCTTCGAGGCATGACGTCATGTGATTTTATCAATATATATAGTATATACACATACATATATATATATATATATATATATATATATATATATATATATATATATATATATATATATATATATATATATATATATATATATATATATATATATATATATATATATATATATATATATATATATATATATATATATATATATATATATATATATATATATATATATATATATATATATATATATATATATATATATATATATAATTTTTTTTTTTTTTTTTTTTTTCCTATGAAAAATAAAATTTAATTTTTCAGAGCAGTCAGCGAATCTTAAGCATCGACTTCAAGGGAATATCACATTAACGTTAGAGTGGTGAGGTATGCATAACCATAACCATGGCTGGGGTGGGTGAAGGGTTCCCCTCAAAAACCTTCACTTTCTTTACTTTATCCTTGAATACTGTATTAATGATTCCGCGACAACATCATAAGCGTGTCCTTGCAACTTATGCTGATCAACTTATGCAACTTTAAAATTTTTGAAGGAAGCAGATATTCTGTAACTTTTTCTATGACATGTGTTCGCGGAATACAGTGTGTGTGTGTGTGTGTGTGTGTGTGTGTGTGTGTCTACCCAGCAGTAATTGGGAACCTGAATGTTAATCGATATTCCGGGGTAATGGTTAGTCAGTGCAGTTGGCGAGTTGTCCGCTCTTCTCGGACTATTCCTCGGCACTGGGTCATGCAGCTGGTTAACTTAGGGTGTGGTTGTTGTGTTGGCGACAGTTTCTACACCTTAAACAGATTCACGCTTAGGTGGCCCTTGGGCCGGCCATCCTCGTTACACGAGGGACAACCATTATTATTATTTATGTGTGTGTGTGTGTGAGCCCGTCCGTCCGCCCGTCCGTTTATGCGTCGTTAAACTACATAATTGTTTTGATTTTATTTTTTTACGGGGAATAGTCCACCCGGACACAAGTCATCTACCCACAACGGGGCCTAGGGGGCGAAAAAATAAGAGTAAAAAGAAATTAAAATATAAAAGAAAATGATTATATTAATCTGCATCATGAAGATGCCGGAAAACCAGCTTTTTGAAGTGAGACATTGTATGAGTATGAGTATGGAAACGGCTGAATATCAAAGAGATCATACGTGCTTATTATGTAGTTATCTACTTACTGTTTAATTAGGCTTTAGTTCATAATTTATCTTTTCTAATATGATTATTCTAAAATTATAAATTTATCACGAGTACACATGCCGATTTCGTGTCATTAACTACCACACACTGCTTTCAGCCATCCATAACAATAAATAATACTCTAAGTGGTAATTCAACATGACATTATAAGCACGGTAATCTCAGGACTTTGCTGAAGCGCACTCAGATTGCAGAGGTAATCCCAGTGCGCTACACCAGAAGCCTGGAGTACGAGAGGAACCTAAAGTGACTCTGGTTATTGCTACATCAACGAACCTCACACAACGATAAGAATTCTTGTTATTAATCCAATCACTTATTTCCGGCAGCTTGATTTTATCATTTTTTTAAATTTTCGCTTTTAGATAATATAGCAATCAATTTGTAGAATGTGAGAACTCGTTTTCTTTGTCTATATTAAGAATATAAGATGATTAAACAATACCGCCAACAAGCTCAAAGTATGAGTACTGCAGCACAAGTTATGGGGGAAAAGTAATTGTACAATACATACGAATAATAAGCCGACCTGGGTATATTGTGAAAAGTAAAATCATCGAACTCAAATATGATTTCAGCAAAGTGATTGGTGGGAAGATTACTATAAATTTGAGAAGTTAAGAAGTCAAAGATAGATACAGTTATAAAAGTAAGTTGTGGTTGAGGAGGATTCAAGATAAGGCTGCCGGGAGCACGAGATGACAGAAAAGGACATGGGAAAAAGTAAGGATTAGGGTAGCTATCAGGGAATAGTCCTACCTGTGAGGGCGTGGGGACCCAACGTGAAAACGGATGGTGTTTACGGTGGTGTGGCTGCTCTGGATATTAAAGGATATATTTGTACGACTGAAGGTTTATTACATTATTATTAACTAACATTATGAAATTGAGCGGGTGTAAAGATGTGTGGCAAAAAAGAATTACTATATAGGGCCTATAGCTCTCAGCAGCTAGACTGAAGGGTGAAAACCGGCTGGATATGGCAACAGCCTCGGGAAACTCCACCACCATCCTGGAACTACGTCCTCTGCAAACTGGACAGCCTCCGTATGCCAAGGTTCAGGTTTATATGATGTACAGTACTATACACACTGCAAAAGCAGCACAACCGATTCGTCAGTCAAACATCCTTAGTTTCCTTACGTGCTGGGAAACTGGATAAAAATAACAAGTAACAATAGAAGATCACTAGGAAGATAATGTGAAATACAGATTTTTTGAAGACGATATTGGTCATGTGAGCGTGGTGGGAGGGGGGGGGGCGAAACATAAATATACCACCAAGGAGCTAGACTAAAGAGATGTTATCACTTTTAGGTACCGTGCCTGTTGCTCCTGCAAAAGTACTTCCACAAGCCTTTAGACTACTTACAGAGAGACAGTTTCATCTGCAGTAGATAGAGTAATATTTTACTCACTTCATGAATATCCCGCAGCAGGTAGTACAGGGTGGGCCACAGGCGCCGCAGCAGCAGGAGGACCGTTGGTCGTCGTCCTCATTTTCACGGGAATTGCGAGTGTTGGGCTGCGTGCCCCCTGCCTCGCCGTTGAGCTGGCTCGTCTCCCAGGCCTCAGTCATGACTCCCTCACACTACCTCCTGCTACGCCTCCACCGTCCTTAGCTCTGAAAAGAACTCTTATTCAACACATTTTTCATTGTACAGTATACAGTAGTATTTAAAACTAGGTGATATTATAATACACCAAAGCATTCCAATGCGGTAATCATAAGTCGCGACGTCTGCTTAATAGAATTATTTGACAAAAACAAAATATCTTACCAGTGAACAGATTTAAATTTCACTCACTAAGATTAATTTCTCACCTCTTTTCTGAGTAATTTTAATAGGCGAAATTTAAATAATGTATGTGCTGGACGGGTACAGCTCAGGGTATCCACCAAGCTGTGAATGGGTACCTAAGTAACTTAACTGGTAAAATAGAGGCGGTCGGTTTCTGTGCCGGCCACCTTGCCTTACTATGTACCCAAAATAGGCAGTCTTGTGTCTAACGGCCCCCCAGGCTTGGTCTATGGGACCCTCTGTCATACGAGGTGAATTGTTAGATGCCTGTCTACTTCTGACAGCAGGCGAAATGAAGCAACTAATAAATCTCACCAACGTAATTTTGACTGAACCGGGCAACTAAAATAAGAAACTCACCACAGAGAAACAATGTCTGAAGAGTGGCCGACAAATCTAGTTTATATAGAAATAAAGACTAATGATTAATCTCGGTAAAGATCACAGGCTCGACCTTTGTCTGGTCTAGATCACGTGAGTTGTTATAGACTGCTCTTGTGAGGCTTGTGTTCTTTGCGCTACTGAATAACAACTTTTTAGTGAACTAGGGAGTGCGGCGGCCGAGTGGCTGGCCTCCTCTACAAGAATCGCTGGTTCGATCCTGGAGGCATGCACGCCCAGTCCACCAAGCCGTAAACGGGTACCTGGGAAGTGAAAGGTGTTGAGTGGGGTGCCGGACACAACGCCTTGCGTACCGAAGGCTTAAAACACAGTGCTGTACCCACATTATCCCTAAAGGGACGTCATCCCTATGGATTTTAACATGTTGTGACAGTGTCATAACATTGTGAAGCAATGGTTAAATTTTTACGCAGAGGCTATTCAACCATCACCTATTGAATAGCCTGGTCTACGCAGCCGGCTATTCAGCTGTGAACCTACGCTTGACAAGACCAGGCGTAAACAGAAGTTTTCAGAACGAAATGTGTTTGTTTACATCTACATGCCAGTGATAACTTCTCTGGTGAAGCTAGTACAGTATTACACTATTTAGTTATGTTCAAGAGATGCTGCCTGTTCTAGGTAGTATTACAGGAAGTTATTTTTATCTGGTTATTATATTTGTAAATGTCTACATCAACGCAATTGTATCAGACATCAATAAATACCGTAATTTATATATTAATCGGAGTAGTTATTTGACCGGAATTCCCGGTCGAATAACCATCGGCTATTTGACCGGGACCCACCGGGATTGTGTATGATTTTACTATAATTTTAATGAGATTCTGGTCAGGATGGCTGTGGGAATTACGCTTGTCATTACACTAATCTAAATGTTAAATGCTTTATCACTATCTTTAATCGTCTTCTGATACTTCGAAATATCCCAGAAAAAATTCCCCAAACTCACCAATCATAAGTCTTAAATAACTAGCCAAGTATATATATATATATATATATATATATATATATATATATATATATATATATATATATATATATATATATATATATATATATATATATATATTTGCTGGAACTGGTTGATTGATTGTGGTAAATACAGTACATTTCTGGCAATGCTTGTGGGTTGGGACGAACTTCTGCTGTTGATTGTACCTGCAATGACCAGTCGGACTCGTTATTTCGCTTAATAGGGATAATCGCCAAGAGAGGAGCATAAATTAACTGACACTGGAGGTAAAGTGGGAAGATCCTTGGCATAATTTAGACTTTAGACACTACGTTACAAGACTGCCATCAAGTATTAGTGTCATGAGATAATAACAGGAAAAGAACTTCATGTGAACTATGTAGGGCAGTGTTCTTATCTTTTTTTATAGGTGAGGTTATCATCACAAACGAATAAAGATTAGGCCACGAGGATTAATTAAATGGCCGCCGAGTTCTCTGGCCATTGGATTGGTCTTCGTCAACCAATCTTTGTTAATTTGTTACGATTCCCTTTCCCGAGAAAGAAAATATTGATCAAACTCTTATTCAAGTATTATCTCTACCCTTAAGATATTAGTTATAGTGAATTAATTATCTAAATACTGTAGTTATCTATGTTGACTAACCCGCGCCATCCTGGGAGACTAAGTTCAGGATGAAGTCTAACCTTTCCGCGCGGCATTGTAAACACGGTAACCCCAACATAATTATGATAATGGAAATAAATAAACTCGATTAGTTTACACACACACACACACACACACACACACACACACGTGGTAACACTTTATTTTGCCATTCCTTTCCAAAGTTTATATTTGACATTATAAATCACTGTAGGTGCGCGTGATCCAAGTATATGCTGATTGCTGATAACCACAAGGAAACAAGAAAACACGAAGTTCCCAAGCGCTTTCGTGTAATTTACCCCTGCAGATGTGAATTGCACGAAAGCGCTAGGGAACTTCGTGTTTTCTTGTGGTTATCAGCATATATAAATATATATATATATATATATATATATATATATATATATATATATATATATATATATATATATATGCAATAAATCACTGTAGGTGCGCGTGATCTAGGTATATGCTGATAACCACAGAAAGAAAACACGAAGTTCCCAAGCGCTTTGCAATTCACATCTGCAGGGTAAATTACACGAAGCAGAACTTCGTGTGTTTTCTTGTTTTCATGGTTATCAGCATATATATATATATATATATATATATATATATATATATATATATATATATATATATATATATATATATATATATATATACAGTATATATATACAGTATATCCACACAAGCACTCGCATACATACAACACACAAACATGTATAAACACAAATATATATACTTAAAACACAAACAAACCACACAAAATATAAACATTCACAATTACACACTATAATTATAAACTCACATAAACCACACATATGCACCCAGTCAATTTATTAAAATACAAATAACAATAGTAATAAAAATATTTCATACAGATGTATTCGAGTTTTGCTGGCCATAATTGAGGCAGTAAATATTACTAACAAATTTCGCTTCGCCAAATTACCATACGAATATATATATATATATATATATATATATATATATATATATATATATATATATATATATATATATATATATGTGTGTGTGTGTGTGTGTGTGTGTGTGTGTGTGTATTATCAACTATAAAGAATGTGTGTGATATCACCGAATTTATCGTATTTATGGCAACATCGAGTGGAATATTTTTAAGGTCGAGTCTTGAGATGCATTCCGCCGTTATCGCTTCTCGGGGTATATTTTTTCATATACTGTACTGCAATTATGAAGAAGTAGCCCGACTTAAAATATGACAATTAGCGAATGAAAGTATGAATATATCCCCGTGAATTGGAAAAAAGTGGGATTGCGATTGTGTTCACTTGGGACTTCAAGAAAATTAGGTAGACGTGCACTTAATTTTTATAGTAAAAGTGAGAATAATTGCACTTGTTTTAGGAATATATAAATTATTTCCACTTGGGAATTTAGATGTTGGAAATATTTCCAAAAAGGTATGTGATGTAATATCGTAAATGCTATGTGTACTGTACCTATCATTAAGTGGGTCACGGTGATTACGTGTTATCTGCCCGCACTTAGCCTCATTTCATTCATATTTCACCTATTAATTGTGGGGAATTAGTAATATTGGCCAACCTGAGGCTTTTGTTTGGCTCGCATAGTTAGAAAAACAAAAAGCAACACTCAAAACGTCTTCCACAAAAAATCAATGAAATCTTTAAGTTCATAATAATGAAACTAAATCATTTTCCTTTGTGTTATAAAGTGGAGAGTAAACTAACAATTATTGAACATAACTTCTAATAAAATCATTGTATTCTTAACGTTGGCTTTTCTCGTTTTCAGTTTACGTAAGGCTGCGAGACCGGCGGGTCCCCGTTTATTGGTTTCCAAGCGTGTGTAACAGGAAACTACATGCTCTCTGTTTACTTGAGGAAACACGGCCCCTGGTGGTGTCATTATATTCGATTACTAGAGAGAGGGGAATTACTGTACATGGAAAAGTTGAATTTAAGAGAAGCAGAAGCAATCTCTATGATCAAGTCTGGAATGATACAATTGAAATATAACTCCCGAACTCTTAAATGTGAAAATCCAAGTTGTGAAATTTATCGGAAAATATAAAGAAAATAGTTAACCATTGTTCCAACCTATACATAGTAGTCAATGATATTGATATAAACATCAAGACTGCTGGAACACTATTAGAAATCCGAGAAATTAACGAAAAAACTGAAAGTTAATAAAAGGAATATTACAAATTAGAGATAGAATCCTACAAGCAAGACTGAAAAAAACAAAAACAATAACGAATAAAGAAAAAATTCGGACAGTCGCGCTCGCATCAGTGCTGATGGAAATTTATAATGAGCGTTTCTTTTGAATCTTTACGTGAAATCACGTTTCGTTAAAGCTGATTCCCCTTTGAATTAAAAATAATGTACCATTAAATTTGCGAGAGCAATAAATCACATATCTTTTGATAAGCATTGGGTTACTATCTGTTATTACTTATTTAATACGCGTGAACGGTCGCCAACGGTGAGCATAATCTTGTTTCACGAGTGATATGGGGCTGTCATTGTCTCACCGGTAAAAACAAAAATACCACATAACACTTTCAGCAAAAGCGATCGAATTTGTATTGGCTAAACCCGAGGTATCGACAAAAAAGATGAAGAGAGTCAACTCCGCTGATTGGAGTGCAGCCAGTCATTCTGGCTCAGCCACGTAGGAAGGTAGTCAACATCCGTCTTATCACGGAAGTATTCCAATTAACATCCTTAATATTAACTGAAGAACCTTTCACGAAAAGCTTTTATTACCGCCACGTTGATAACAGCCAAGCTTGATACAAAATTAATTCTACCAATTGTATTCACAGGCAAGGCAACAATAAGAAAATCGATTTTAAAACATATAGCTATTATTTAAAGGGCTTTCTGAGTTGTCATAATTTTGAGAATAACATATTGAAGTTTACCTTATGTAACGTGGAGCAGAGCACAGCGTCGCACCCTCAGCCTGCCACACTCACACTAACGCAGCTCTGTGCACTGTGGCAGCGTAGCCCAAGCCTGACTGGACGCGCCTCGCAGTCAGCCGTCACTGTAAACATTACCAAGCGCTTTACAAAATCAACATTAGTCGCCCCCGCGTTTTTTCTCAGGTTAGTTTTCTTTACCACAATCCTGTGGGTATAACCCTTACCGTGTTATGAAGGGGGAAACGAACAAGAAATTGTGTTGATTTTAAAAACATTCATCAGTTTATAGCCACTCTGCCACTGTAGATCTGTGCCAACAACTATTGTTACTGACTGATGTCTCCCAGCCTAAGCAAATTACCTTACCGAAGATAAGCATATGATGGCTTTGTTAGCTATCCTTGGTCGAATTGAATTACAGTTTACCAGTGTATACTGACACTGTATTCCTACACTGTCTCTATAAAAGCTGAATCAATTTGAACTTGTACGATGATATTACTGAATATCTATACAGTATACAAGACAAGACTAGCGAGGTCATCTTAAGATTATATCTTGCGCTTGTGAGACCTCACCTGGATTACGCAGTGCAGTTCTGGTCACCGTATTACAGAATGGATATAGAATCCTTGGAAAGAATCCAGAGGAGAATGACAAGACTAATCCCGGGCATTAGGAACCTTGAGTACAGAGACAGGTTAAAGCATCTTAATTTGCACTCCCTCGAGAGACGTAGAGCGAGGGGCGACATGATAGAGGTGTATAAATGGGAGTCAGGGCTAAACAAAGGGTACATTACAAAGGTACTCAAAGCATCCAACCAGGAGCGAACTCGTAACAATGGTTTTAAATTAGGCAAATTTAGATTTAGGCGCGAAATTGGTAAACACTGGTTTGGAAACAGAGTATTGGATGAATGGAACAAGTTACCAAATATCATCATTAACTCGAATACGCTGGATAGCTTCAAACATAGGTTGGATGCTTATATGAGCAATAGGGGTTGGGTGTAAATGGGACTGCCCAATATGGGCCAATAGGCCAGCTGCAGTTTCCTCCAATCTTATGTTCTTATATCTACAGTTCTTTTAAACCTGTTTATGCTTCGAATGTTTCCCTGTACAACCTCTCGTTGTTCATCTGCCAATGTGATCGAGTGAGAACAAATCATTTTAACATATTCATTTCTTAAGCATTCGGCCATCTTGACAGCAGTTAGATAAAACCATGTTTAGTCACCGATGTGATCACCATTTCCAAAGCACAACTTGTGAGAAAATTAAGTAACGAAATTAAAGATATTTAGATAAATGCGTAGATGAGGCAATCCCTGGTTTACCCACGGCCTGGTTATTGGCCTTGTCATTTTGTTATCTAATCTTGATGTGACATACAATTTGAGAGTATATTAAGTGCAGTGTTAATTTTTCAACGTAATTAACTCCAACAAAGTAACGCCGCAGATAAAAGCTAACTCTTGAACCGAAGAAATTTTGCGAAGGAACTTACCTGAGAAAAAATAGAAAACTATTAAACGCCGAACTCGAACCTTAATATGTGGCGTAGAAAACAAATGCTGCCAATTCACAAAAAATAACAACCTTAAAGTTAACGTAAGACGATTATATATGAATAATTAATACAAAATACGAAACGCGGTGAATCGTAACATGAGGCTGTGAACACCTCGGGGTCAGAAACCTCGTCTCGATAAAGAAAATTGTTCAAACACATCAAACACGCTGTAGCGTAGGCTATGTAGGAGATCTCGCACTTAGGATGGAGGTGAGAAGGGAAACTCACAATGGCGTTTTCTATATATATATATATATATATATATATATATATATATATATATATATATATATATATATATATATATATATATATATATATATATATATATATATATATATATATATATATATATATATTATATGCACCATGCAGTGCTAGGGAGTTGCTGTGTAGTGAGGAGCTTGTTGAAAGGAGGTCTTGTCTGTTGGAGAGCATTGAGTAAATTAATCTTCACGGTTGTTGTTGTTGTTGAGGTTGTCGGACCGTAGTCCGATACGGGCCTTTGCCTGTTGGCGGCCCGTTTGGTGGTTCCGGCTGGAACTCCTGGAGCAGCCAGACCGGATTTGGGATTGGAGGTTGTCCTACCTGTAGATATGAAAGGATACTGCAGGTTGCAAGTGTGAGCGGACCCTCGGTCAGTGAACGCACACCACCAACCCCCACTCTTGGACGTGATCAGTTTCGTAGTGGCGCGCACCCCGAACTGGGGTCCGCACTTGCGGGGGGAGGATACTTCCTCAGCTATCTGGGTGGTAGGTTTCGTGTGATGACCCGGAGAAGGTGGTGAATGTGGTTTGCTTGGGCCTTTCGGGTTAGAGTGGCCGCTGGTGTTGTGTGTTCTTCTTGGAAGTTTTGAATTCTGTTTCGGAGACTTTGTGTGACTTCGCAGTCGAGGAGATAGTGTTCCAGTGGGTTGGCCGCTGGCTCCTGACAGTAGGTGCATTCCCTGACGACATTTCCGATCGTCTGGTGCCAGGAGCACTTGTACCCTAGTCTTAATCGATGAAGGCTAACTTGAGTTTGTCTTGGTGACGATCTTCCGATCCGATCCGATGTGATGGAGAGAAGAGAGCCTATTGGCTCAGGAAGATAGAAGACGGTGTAGGAGGAAGGTAAAAGTTGGGAAGTGGGAAATAAAGAGGGAAATTGATAGCAGGTGGGCTCTCCACCTTGCGGGGACGAGGTTAAATCTGCCATGTCAGCAGTTCATGTCCACTACAGCAAGGGAAGGGAAGCCAAGCTAACCTAAGCTGAGGCAGATTGTGGTGTTTGGGGAGGGGGGCCCTCCGTGTCCTTTAAGTATTCTTCGTTTTTATTTAAGTTGGTGAAAGGAATCAGTAAAGGAGATATAGAAACAGTTCTTATAATATCCGAGCAGGATAGGACTCGTAGCAACGGATTTAAGTTGGATAATTTTAGGTTTAGGAGGGAGATAGGAAGGAACTGATTTACAAATAGGGTGGTAGACGAGTGGAACAAGCTTAGCAACTTTGTAGTAAGTGCTGGAACGCTGGAAAGTTTTAAAAGGAGGCTAAATAGATTCATGGATGATAGAGAGTGGTCGTAACTCTAGACAGGAGCTGCCATGCACAGGCCAACCGGCCTATTGCAGACTCCTTATTTTCTTATGTTCTTATATTACTCCCGGGGGTTGATCGTCTACCACTATACTATTATCTTAATTCTCGAGGTGGTGTTGCCTAAGCACTCTTCACCACCATCAGTCAGTTACATGTTCAGCCACATAACCATTATTGCCCTCACTCCGCCTACATATACTCTATGTTGATCCTGCTTTTTTCCCCCACCTCCATCACTACGAGCAAAAGCAATGTGAAGTAAAACCTCACCAGAACTATCACCACACTTTTAGCTCAACCGCCAACCTTTCCGGACAAATCTCATAATTTTTAATAGTTGTCGGACTAGTCACCAGTGCATTACTAACCATGTCACACGCTGAAAGACTTTAGTTGTTGAAGCGCAGCAATAACGTTATAACTACAACAATTTTTCTGGAACTCTCATTTGACCCGTCTCCTGCCAGGGTAGTATGTGTGTCTCTCTTATAGTCACAGGAACATGGTGCTCACACATAAGCCCTCCACACTACGCTTTTCATAAATTATTACTCGGTCATTAGGCTGTTGTTTTGAAAACTAGGCAGATAACTACGGAAGAGCATTTTGTTATAGTTATTTTTATCTGTGAATAGTTAATAACTACATGGCGGTCTAGTGGATACAGTGCTCTCCTCCTGTTCTAGGGTTCGGTGATTCGATTCCTGGGTGTTCTCAGTTCACCCAGCTGTAAGTGAGTACCTAAATTTATAACTTGAGGATGAGAATACGGTCGAGAGCAGTACCGGCCATGCTGCCTCCCTTTGTATACAGTGTACTGTGTCTACACTGTCCCTAACGGGCAGGCAGTTATGCCTATGGGACCCACTTTCAGTTTTTCACCTAGTCGTCCAAGAAAACCACGCACAACTACTCACCTTTAAATAATATTTGTTGTTTAAACGGTCGTTGGTGACAGTAGAGGTTATAAACCACACACGCATGAACTTCGTTGATCTTATTGTTAGTGGTGTGCTAATTGGTGTTTATATCGAACATATCGATCAAATTATCCTGGGAAACTTGCACTTCACGCCACTGCCCGACCAGTGAGCCCTACTGGTCCGCTACCTCGCACACTGAAGAAAATGACTTATCACAATTAGATCTTATCTGCTGATTACGGCGCTCACATCACCCCCCACAACACACCACCGATGGATCTGGCTCTCCCCAGTAACTGACTGGGGCCCATAAATACACTTCCACTAATAAATATGTAAACCAAAAATAATTGCAGATAATTTGCCACGATTGTTAAAGTAGGTCCTGCAAGTCTGATCGTCCGTTAAAGGAAGCGAGGATACAACACACTGAATATTACACTTCATTATATAAAGAGGCTGTGGCCGGCACTTCATACGGCTGCCTTCACTCCCTCTCACCCTTAACCGTGCTGTTAAATTAGGTACCCAACTACCCATTCACAACTAGATCGACTGGGGGGGGGGGGGGCGAACGAGTGACAGTGTCCGCTTGGCCGCCCCAAAATACTTCACTTTTATCCTCTTCGCCACTGATCGGCTCATTAGAAGCTTGGGCGGTCGGTCACGTCCATGATACGCACTGCTGGCAGATACTGGTCATGCACTGGCTCCTGATTACATCAGAACCTGCTCCAGTGTTGGTCAAGTTTGACCTTGAATGAGCTCACACTCGATGCCGTCACAACGCTCTCCGGTAGATTGTTCCAAGAGTTCACAGTTCTCACTCCCAAAAAATTTGCCCTCACAGTTTTCTGGACTTGAGGTTTCTTCAACTTTGAGCTGTGACCCTTTAAGGGGCGAGCGTCCGCCAGCTCCAGGTATGTACATTCGACCGAGTAGTGCCCCCTGAGATGTTTATACACCTCGATTAGGTCGCCCCTCGCCCGTCTGTAGTATAAGCAAAAGGTAGTTGCAGGCGCTCCAATCTCTCTGGGTAACTGAGGTGCCGTAGAGCAGGCACCAGTCTGGTGACCCTCCTTTATACATTTTCAATCAATTGACAGTCTCTAGCATACCTCGGAAATCAGACGAGGTGACAATACTCTAGACGATCGAGGAAGCACCTCAATCTTGAAGATCGTGACCAGTAACGGACCGTCCAGATAGCTAAACAAACTTCTTGTAAGAACCTACTAGTTTCGTTTCCTGATTCACTTTCTTCTCACAATGGCCCGAGAATTTAAGTTCATTGTCGACATTCACACCCAGGTCCTTTTCACATTCAGTCTCAATTAATGCAGTCTCTTCGTCCTGTTGGGACATGTGATACGCCTCCTTACGATTGGTGCGATCCAGGTGCATCCTTTTGCATTTCGTGACATTGAATTTTATCAGCCATTTCCTCGACCATTCTTGGAGCTATCTTTCTGTAGCTCTTCACAATCTGTTTGGTTCTTAATTTCCTTAAATAACTTGGTATCGTCCGCAAACATTTGTATGGAGGAGTTTATAGCTTCTGACATGATATTAATGAAACAGACAAACAACAGCTGACCCAATACACTGCCCTGTGGTACCCCGGTAGTCACAGGTACACATGACGATTTCGTACCATTTATCACCACACACTGTTTGCTGTCATGCAGAGAGTCTGATCCACGCTTGGACATTCCCCCGAATCCTGTAACCTTACAGTTTAATTTTCAGCCTTTCATGGGGTACGTTTTCGAAAGCCCTGGCAAAATCTAGGTATATATTGTCGATATTTCCACCTTGTTCTAAAATTTGAGTCCAAACATATAGTACCTTGAGTAATTGTGTTAAGCAGGATCTTCCCGGCATAAAACCGTGTTGGCATTCCTTTACAAGGTTGTTTCGAGCAGATGTTCCATCATGGCGTCTCTTACGATGCCCTCTAGTACTTTGCACACTATGCCGGTCAGGCTCACTGTCTATAGTTATTCGTGGAGTGGCGATCGCCCTTCTTGAATATAGGACTCACAAAAGCCATCTTCCAGTAGTCGGGGACCTTTTGCTCATCCAGGCATTTGCAGAACAGGATCTTAAGGGGCTCCGCAAGCTCGTTACACAGTTCTCTTAACACTGATAGTAACGATCACATGCAAGATTAACCGTTACTGTAAATTTGATAAACAGTAAAAGACAACATACCTGGGGATACAAACTTAATTCACCAATAGACAACGATGATTGTTGCAGTGAAGAAATATATCAGAACTTTATTAATCTATATGAGACTTTTTATTTCTGTCTACACAAACTGACTAGATCCTAACTTATTGTGTTCAGTCGAAATATTGCACTTCAAGTGGCCCTTGAGTATTTCACACCCACTGGAGAGAATGGTGGTAAATATGGGAGGTTAACAATGTACAGTATAGTGACTGAAATATTTGCGGATTAAAACATGTTTATTGTCGCAGATTGTTTTTAAATAGATTCCAGAAGCACTGCTGCATCACCACCTGTTGGTTTATCTCTTTAACAGACGCTGTTGCGGAAGGCAGTACTAACTGGCCTGAAGAAAATCTCAAATGAAAGAGCACCGACCTTCTCCCCTCTACAGTGTCTACATCACTACTGACCAAATGGCCCATCTCCTACACCTCACTAACAAATGTTATTGACCTTTCTGAAGTCAGCTCGGTAAGTACAACACATTTCCTGCCTCACAATATCTCAAAATAACTTAAGTTAAATGAAGCATGTTTATATCAACCTCATACTATCTCGTAATTTAATATCATTAACACAAACTTTGCAGTTGAGTGGAAAATCTTTTAAGGCAGCAAATCAAACAAGTTTTTCAGATTTAATATTAGGCCTACTTTGGCCTGAGGAAGGGAAACCCAACTGCGAGCTGTGCAATTTATTCTTGATTTACCAAAAAGTAAACCTCAGTCTTAGAATATTTATCCCCAGAATGTCAAATTAATAGGAGCGGAATGGTGGATGAAAGCAGATAGAAAGCATTGGCGACATACAATAAGCATTAATGTACAATACACCGCCCCGCACTTGACACTTCCTAGTCCCAAAAATGCCCGAGAATTTACCTGGATAAATGATAAGTAGGAAAAACAAATAAATTGATCCACCACTGAGCATCCTTCTACCGTAGCTATTCTCGGGACACGGCTTCACGCGGCGCCTGGAGAGGGGAGACAGAACAGGCTGCTGTACAATTATTTACCATCTAGCAGGAAGAATGTCGACCATTCAGCAGCGTGTGTTGCAGCCGTCAACCGCCGCTCCCACTATTACTACAGTACTATCTTAACTCCATGGAGCTGTCAGTGGCTATATATGGCTCATCACGGCCAGGGTCAACTATACTACCTAGGTAGCCCCCTCAGCTTAAACGCTTGACAAGAGATAAAATTAATCGCCCCGGATTCTTCAAGTAGCCTCGCAACTAGCATGAGGCATTGTGTCTAATATAACCTCTTCCAACGTGAAGATAAATAATGTTCTTAAGATGATAATATTAGAGTAGACTAAACCCAGAAGTTTTAGAAATAAACTATCATTTTTATCGATATCTAAATTTATCTCAGGGTTAAGTTCTAATCGCTTATTTATATTTTTCGTGTGTTTATTATGACATACAGGTGCTGGTGATTTCAGGCAGGTAGATGGTTGGCTGGAGTTGTGTGAGTGTGTTTGTGTGTGTGTGTGACGTTTACCTTCTTGCGTGTATATTATATATTCAAGGATACACAGTATTAAAATTTGTATGGCTGTGTGTTTTGAGGAGGGGTGTAAGTATGTGGGCGTGGGCATTTGTATGGATATATAATGATATATGTTTGAGTGTGCATTTGTGTCATCACTAGACATATATTACTTTCTGTCTTCCTGCACTTGTTAACGTACGCTGGCTGCAAATGACCAAGGTTACGTCCAGTCGTTGGAGAACCGTGCATTCTGATGATGCTGTGGAGAAATGTTGGTGCTGTTGAGAAATTATACTCTTGTAACGGCATTGTTAAATAGATACTATAACGAACCATTATTATTCCTCAGGCTTAGTTGTCTAAAAATGTTGATTTAAAGTATAAACTCATTCATAAGATGATAAGAGGCGCTCCAGTTGGTGTCGTTGGTCGGGTGCACTGTGTTCACTGCACACAGTTGACACCCACGCCATTTAATCCAAGGTTACGTAATTGCTTTCATTCCCAGTGGGTTCTGTATTTTAAAACGTTTTGGCTTAACCGTTTACTCTACATAAACTGATTTATATTCTGGACAAATGAGATTTTGAAAATAAAATAACTCGAGTAAAATTTTTATTTTACGGTTTTATTTAAGATGTAGGGCTACGCGGTAACAAAACTAAAGTACTATACTGAGAATTTTTCCTCGTCAGATTATCAGTTTATCCACACGTGGGTAACTTATATCCTCATAGACTTAAACAGCTCATTTTTTATGCATAAATGTAAACATTGTATCTCCTATTGGGTGTATTACTTGTTTCACTAAAGAAATAAAAAATGCTAAAAAATCGAGGAAATTAGTTTTCGGCAACGAAACTTTTAACATTTAACTCAACAGTAAGATAATATTTGTTACACAAGTCTATTAAAGAGGAATAACTTTTCTTAATAATCATTAATAAAAGAATTGTAATTTAAATATTGCGCGTTATCGACAGGACAGAAGCGCATGCGCGATCAGCTGCTCCCTGATTGGTGGATTTCGAATGTTTGATGCCTGTACGTGAGGGCGACGAAAACAGTGAGAGACGACCCCCTCCTCCCTGTGAGGTTGCCTGTCAGCCACACTCCCGCTGGTATTGTTCGCTGGCAGCCTTAAATTACCACCATGGCGTCGGTAAGTAGGGGCAAACATGTAGGTAAGGTGATGGAGGTGACGGGGGGAGGTAGAGAAGTGTGGAGGGTCACTCTTGGAGGTAGCACAGGTAAACTTCCAGCACTACCCTTCTTAAATTGCTCTTTATTTCACGTCTCATTGATCCCTGGAAGGCCTTTAAGATTTCAATGTTAATGTGATGTGATAAAAAATGGATGGTTCATTGTGAGTGAAGGAAGCGAGTGCAAGTTTCATAGGTGAATTACTAGAAAAGCGCATAAGTGACACTATCGGGGTCGGGTTAACTTGGGTCAGTTCTGG